CTGAGACTGATCCTCCCTTTGACTTATCCCCAAAAGCCACAAACAACTTTCAAGATTCATAACATATTTTGCTCTACTCACATCAATACTCTTTTGATGTCCAGTTCATGAAGACTCACTTTTCTAGGTAAGTTTAGAGATACAGGGAAGAAGATGGGTGATGGAAGGAAGAAAGAAGATGAAATTCAGAAACCACCTTTGAGGAGAGAGTGAAAGAAACACCACCTATTTTTATGTAAAATAATAAAAAAAGGATAAGCCATCATGTTTGGAGGAAACTAAGGCTATAGCTACATATAGATTTTATACCGATTCAACTGTTGGTTTAGAAACAAATATAGTTACTCTTGGTGCAGCCTCTAGCGTTGATGCATTTATACCCTTTCCAGTTAAGTAGTTACCAGCATAAACTCTGTCAATATCAAGGTATTTGTATCTGTATACTTGCATCCACATGAGAGGTTTGCACCAATTTAACTGTACTTGTTAATAAATACAGTTACAGACCAGACCTAAGAATGTGACTTTGAGAGATAGCTGGTAAAGAGAACACTACCCTGCCTATTCAAAGAGCGATTTCATGAGTCTTGTCCATATTACAGTTAGGCTTGATCCAGTGTCCACTGTATTCAATGAGAATCCTTCCATTGATTTCCATGGATATTTGATTAGGCTCTTAAAATGTCATGAATCTACCTGTCTATCAAGGTGTAGTACTGGTCACCATGATATCTTCCAAGTATTTCAAATTATAATAAAAATCAGTCTCAACACTGAGGTATTTGTATCAGTATACCTGCATCCACACAAGAGGCTTGCACCAATTTAACTGTACTCGATAACAAATACAGTTAAATATTTACAAACACTGTGTATAGACCTGACCTAAGAATGTAACTTCCTTTCCCTCTCTGTCTTCTACTCTATCCCATAGAAAAAATAGCTTGATTAGTTTGGCTGTAGGTCTATAGACTTTCTCCAGGTAAAGCTAAGTTGAAGGGATGAGTTTGGTGTTTAGTTTTGAACTTGGTGTGTCCAAAGTGATTTTTATCTCACTTGTGAGCGCATGATATAGTCTTGGTCCAGCACCAGTGAAGTTCTGTCTCCTGCACTCACAATCTCCAGTTGTGGACATTCTCACACTCTACTGGCAGGCGGTTATTGTGGGAGGTCAGTCAGAGAAAGAAGTGATCTCTCACAAAGCTAAGTTCAATAACAATCAAGAGTCCAGTTTTCTGCACTGATCTGCATTTCTCATTTCACATTAAGAATTAACCTCTTCCGGATAGTTCCTTTGTTCTTGTAAAAAAAAAAACTGAAGTCAGATGCCAGCATCACCTTCTGTGGTGTGCAGTAATAAAAACATTAGTCTCATTGGCTCTTAGAGCTTTTTTAAGTAACCCAGGGAAATAACTGAGAATGTAGTCCTGAGTCCTTATTTGCGATTGCACTGCTTCTTAAGGACCCTAGCCTGCTCCCATTGAAGTGAAAGGGGTTTTCCCACCAAATTCAGTTAAATAAGTTGTAGGGACTAACTGTGAAGAGCAACAGAACACCAGGCCCATGATAATGTCCAGTTAACATTTGTTGTTAATATTTTCATTTTTGTGGGACAGATACGCCTGATTATACAAAACCAAAGAACACAACAGAGCTGTAATGGCAATGACCGCAATCCCATAATGAGGTCCAGGTGGGACCCTGTAATATAGCGGACCCCCAATGAAATATCAGGGCCAATAAGATTACCTGTTAAGCTATGAAAAGTGACTTAAATTTCTAGCATTAGGCATAACCATGTCCAGTAATTCCTGACTGGCTGAGTATTTGATAATTTGCCTCATACCCTCAGTTTCTCTACTCAGTCATTAGCTGCCAAGAAATGCCCTCCCTCCTTATCATTTCTGCTTAAATAAATCAGGAATTTTATTATATTTCTTATGTCCCCAAAAGCCCATTTTTCTGTGGATGAGCTGTTCCCCCCCAAATACTCTGATTTCATTAGCTTGTTCCAAACAAACTTTAGCTTTGCCAACAAAAGCACAAAATGCAGCAACAAAAGGTCATTCTGACTTTTTTTGATAAGCTATAATAATGATTAATCTATAACCTAGAGTTTTCCTGAAATATATTTAGTTAAAACGAAAAGAAAAACAATCTTTCTGAATTATGCTCCAGAAATATATAATCACAGTCTCTCACATACAAATGCCAACCTGATAAGACAAAAATGTATAGATATATTTTTCTTTTCTACACACTACGTAGATAATAGGGCAATTACACTTTAAACAAACTATACTAATAACCTAAAAACTTATTACCAAGTATTTGTACCACACTGGTCACCATAGTATCTGAACCCGTTATATTACTAAGGAAATATTTATATCATGGGTGTGTTCTTTGTCATTCACACAGAATAAGCTCACACCCATAAAAAGTACCTTATGCTAACCACTGCAATGCACACTCTATTCTATGTCTGTTTTGATAGGATCAAATCAATTGGAAGGGGGTAAGTTTGAAAGCCTCAAATCTTTCAGAAAAATTGTGTGTGAGTGGGTGTGTGGGGGGGTGATTCATAAAACAGATTAAAATATAAATGGTAGGCTAAGTACATCAAAAGATTTCAGATTAAGGGGATTAAATCAAAGTACTTACATGTTCCACAACAATTGTTTAGAAAGGGAGAGATGATGAAAGCATGGTGCTGACATGCCAGTTGTATCATTTCTCTGAAATACTGCTCAGCATTGCATTATAAAAAATGTAGCAACCATGTGAAGGTTACTCAGTGGAAACCTCACAGTTATTGTGGTGCTGCCATATGTATGGTACATCACTTGCTTTGCCATTGTCCAGTGTTCTAATCCAAGAGAATATTTTCAATACTGATCCTTCCAGCACACAAAAGACACTTGCAATAGCCTT